GAGCAAAAAGCAGTGCAAGGTAAGGAGACTGTGTTCTTCTGTGTGGCCGCCCCAGCCTATGAGACATGTATCTTCTTAGATGTCAGGTAGGGCAGGGAAAGGCCCCTCAGTGGTCTCCAAGCATCTCTCCACCGTCCTCTGTCCACTGAACATGCGTGCACTCTCTTCCACGTGACAGCTTCTCAGATATTTGAAGACCACTGTCTACCCCTCATGTGACTCTTCCCTTTTCTAGGTTTCCTTCAATGTTTCCGTAAGATATGTTTTCCATCGGCCAGGATATTGTACATGAGACATCCCTCTTAAAATGTAGCAGCCCACATGTGGTCTGACCAATGTCCTACAGGCTCGCTCTTTCTTTCTTTCTCTCTTTCTTTCTCTTTCTTTCTTTCTTTCTTTCTTTCTTTCTTTTTCTCTTTCTTTCTTCTTTCTTTCTTTCTTTTTCTCTTTCTTTCTTTCTTCTTTCTTTCTTTTTCCTTCTCTTTCTTTCTTTCTTCCTTCTTTTTATCTTTTCTTTCTTTCTTTCCTTTTTTTTTGAGACAAGGTCTCACTATGTTGCCCAGGCTGGTGTCAAACTCCTGGGCTCAAGCAGTCTTCCCACCTTGGCCTCCCAAGTAGCTAAGAGTATCAAGTGCATGCCACAGTGCCCAGCTACAGGCTGTATTTCTGTCCATGCTGCCCAAGATGCTGTTAGAGTAATTAGCAGCAGCCACAGTTCACAGTGTGGCATGGAGCCCAAGGCCTTCCAAAGTCCCTGGACCTATTTACTAAGTGTTGATAATAATTCCATTTACTTTTCAGTTTCAGAGGATTCAATAATAACTTTACCATCATTTGTATTTTTAAAATACAAACACATTTTATGTGTTTGAGAGGTGAACGCCTGCTTTTCTACTCTTCCAATGAGTGGAATGAGCTTTATTTAAGGGACACAGCACTGGGCTGAGAACGGGTAGAACTGGCAGAGGAAGGCTCCACCTGTATGATTCTCAGCACCACCCCTTGGCACATGGCATCTGTGACTTTTATTTTTAGCTGTTCCTTCCCAACCAGCTTATAAAATGGATTGTAAATTCCTTGAGGGCAGAGAGCCTCCAATCTTAACCTGTCTGCATCCACGGTGTTTATCCCAGTGTTAAATGCTCCTATCACATTCTTCACAAGTCTTGTTTCTACCTCCTAAATGTCACTTAAACACCTAGCCCTCTCACCATCTCCGCCACCTCCACTCAAACTCCAGCACCTTTTTCTCTCTTCTGGACCTTCCGTGGCCTGACCAGTCTGCCCTCCACCCATGAGCTGCTGGAAAGCTTTAAAAACACACATTGGGTCACATCACACCCCTGCTTAAAACCTTCGTAATGTAAAGGCACCACCCAGTTTTTCTGTATGAAGCTCATTCCTTTCAGAGTAGTCCATGGGCCTTAGGAGCACAAGGATGAGAACAAAGAGTTAAATCATAACCTGGGGAGAAGTCTATTTAAAAGAAGGGCCGAAAGGCCTGGGGTCACCTCCACTCAAAATCCTCCCCAAATAAGCCCAAGTAGAAATAACCTTACCTTCTCTCATGGCCCCAGTCCACTCTGAAGAGACATGTAGGGTGAAACCTGTATACATGTTTGCACTTATTTGGTGCAATTCTCTCCCTCTGTTAGTTTAGAAGCTGCTTGTGGACAGGCCACAGTGTTGTCTTTGAATAAAACCTAGGCCGTTGCCTGAACAGAGTAGCCTCAACCAAGGCCTCGCGATAACCAAACAAATGAATGACCCATGTCAAAGGAATATTCTCCACTTGGGTAGCACTTGCCTAGAAGACTACATGGAATGGCGTTTCCCTTCCCCTGGTGCTGAACTGTTGAAGTGGTTAAAGGACCATCGACTTTGAAGGGCCGTGGTACACCGACCCGCACTGGATGTAATTGAAAACACTTCCCTGGCCAGAGAGAAATAGGGCATGTTTTAATGAATGACACACAGGTGCTAGGTATCAATCCTTCATTAGCATAGCCACCCCGTTCTAACCCATCAAGTCCTTGACCCTTCCTCCTCCCTGACCTACAAAGCCCTTCGCTGTGCCTGTTTCCTTCCTGGCAAGTAAAGAAACTCAGCTTGCTTTACTTTTAAGTTCTTTTGGACTTTGTTTTCTCCTTTGATCCCATGATTTGCTGGTGAGCTCCAGGCCTCTGCCATGGCTGTGGAAAGGACCATCTTGGGATTCCCCTCCTCAGTACAGAGCACTTTACCAACACTCACCACATAAGATAGGAGACCAGGAAGGGAGGCCCAGGGACACCTGCCTTCTCTGAGGGATTGTTAGAAGCTTTACTGGAATTACATTGAAAACTCTAGAGCTCACTGAAGGAAAATGGTAGTAAATACTACTAAATACTAAATAATACCAAAATACTACAGTAAAAGTAACACTAGTATACTATTAATATTATTAGTAATACTATTTCTGTTATATAGTAATAGTAACACTAAAATACTAAAGTACCAAATTGTACTATGGTTGAAGTAGTACTAAAAAGAAAACATTAGTACCAAATTTTGTGGTGATAACACTTTTTAAAGTCTTAATAAGAATTAGGATTTTTTTCCCTGTTCCTAGGTGCTTTCTGCCCCACACACAATAATTGCCTGTAGTTCATATGCCTTTTCAATTGGAATTTTGAAAATGAAGATATTTTTAACTGATGATATCATAAGGACATAACTGGGATTTTATAGCTTTGCCTTCTAGACAATAAAAAGCATACAAAACTATGCTGACATGTTTGTATTAATGTTGTATCTTAGTATTATCAGTCAGGATTCTTTTGGTTGCAAGTGACAGAAACCTAAGTCAAACCAGCTTATTGTAAAAAGGGTAATATTTTACTGAGAGCATCCAAGGAAGGACTGAGTAGCCAAATCCCTGGAGGGGCAGAAGAGGACACGGCTAGGCCTCAGGAGGAGCTGAGAGGCACCACAGCTTTCTCCTTCCACTTCAGGCTCTCTGTGAATGTCAGATGGATCCTCTCTGTCACCTTCAAATGGACTTTTTCCAGGTGGCTGAGAGATATGGTCTCAGTTTTAGAGTTTTAACTTCTGATAAATTCTGTCCCTAGAGAGGAACTAGATAAAATCTCTCTGTCTCTCCCTCACTCCCTCCCTTTCTTTCATCCTGAAAAATCATCTTATTAGTCCACTTCAAGTCTTGAGCCACTTTGGCCAGAGGTGGGGCACTATGGTGGGGCACAGTCCAAGCCAAGTTCCTCCACCTCTTTAGAATATTCAGGAGTGGTAGCATGTGAAAACGTGGCAGCTTCCGTGGGTTGGGAGGGGGAAGTTAATGGCAGCGCAGTTTCTAAGAGGAGCAACAGGGTCAGGACCCGCAATGCTGTAGATACGACCTGTGCTCTCACCTAAGGCATCTCAGAACCTGGTGCCTCTCACTCAAAACGCTGCTGGACAGGTGAATAAGGATGGGGCAAAGGGCTTGTGGTAGAGATCCTTGACGAGCTAATCTGAGGCAAGAATGCATTTTCCTAGCAGTGAATACTCATCCCCTGCATCGGATGCCAATTTGGCAGCTTACACTTTGCTATGTCAACTTCATTCATCTTATTTTATTTAGTTGTTCAACATATATTGTTGAGTACATGTTATGTATCTGACATTCTGCTCAGTGTAGAAGATATAAACATGAGAAAGACAGTCTCTGCCATAAAGAGATTACAGTTGGTGGGAAAGGCAGCCATGTAAACATGTAATTTCCACAGAATGGGATAAGAAGTATGATCGAGGTTTGAAGTCCTTGCTGCAGCATTAGATGTGGAGACAGAGCACGAATGGCTATGTATAAATCTGTGTTGAAAACATAATCCACACACTTCCTCTGCCTCCTCCTCCTTCTTCTCCAACCAGTTATTTAACAAGATTGTTCCTCCCTTTCATGTGCACAGTGCACTATAGATTACCTAGCACTTCCACTCACATCGTCTTCAAACCTCAGAAATACCAGCCTTGTGAAATAAGCAGAACAAGTATCAGTTCCTCATCTTATACTGGAGAAATCGTGTTTCCAGTGCTTTGAAATTACTTCTGATCCCACAGCTGGTAGTATATTACAACGTTGGACCTCAAGCCCATACCTCAGGCTTCAGTGCTATTCCTAAGCCAACGTGCTACCACCATCTACCACTGGCCAGAGAACACACTCCAGAAAAAGAAACCTAATCCTAATCTGTCTCCAGCAATATGCTGAAGGGCTGTGACCCAGGTTCATCACCGGCCAGTGTCCATCTGTGTCATCCGTCTGTGTGCGGCCTTCCTCAGCATTCTTCCCTGGGTCAGGGCACCTCTGGTCACTGACACGCACCAGGCCTCCATCCCCAGCCTGAGGGCCAAGTCTCTCTGTTGCTCTTGGATCTCATTAAGGTAGTGGTGAGCGGGAGAGTTCAGTTCTGATGAGGACAAGTCATAAATGGGCAGATGAGAATATGGATTCAGTTCTCCAGGGCAGTGTGTCTATGACTTTAAAGTGCACATGAATCACCTGGGGATCTTGTCCAAATGCAGATTCTGACTAAGAGAGTGCCCAAATTTTCTATTTCTCACAAGCTCTCAGGCAATCCCGAGACTGCTGGCCCACAGACCACACCTGGAGAAGCAAGATCTAGATTAGAGATGCTAATACATCTTAGCCACTCTTGGGATAAACAGCATATCAGTGGGCTGGTAGCTTTCTTAAAAAGCCGAGATGGAAAAATTTGACCTTAAAAAAAAATTTATTTTTAAAACATGTTTATAGAAGGAACCCTGAGATGAAAATTAAGAGGTCTTACAAATTTACACATATCATATAGCCCACCTATGCTTCAATGTCCCCAGTTCTGAGTTGAGAGTAACAAATATTGCTTCAAGGTAATTAATGCATATGATACTGTTTGGAACAAAACCATTATGGAAAATGCAGATTGTAATCTGTGATTTTTTTTTGTATTTTTTCTTTGTAGGAGATGTCAGTGAAAAAAGGGATCCAGAATGATTACTAACCTATGACTCCCAACAGTATGACAGGTATCTTTTTTTTTTTAACATTTTCTCTGTTGTCTTCATTTTTGTTCCACCTAAAGTGAAATTATAGGTTCTTAAAGATTAACTTGCGAGTTTCAGCAACCATTATTTCCAAACCAATAAGTGTTATTAAATCCTGTGAATACATCCCTACAAACGTACTTCCATGTTCTTCTGACGTTATAAGATGCATCCTCCCCAGAAAGGTGATGGAGAGGAAGTGACTATTCATTTTTAGCCATCCTTTAGCCATTGAACACTGTTTGCTATTGTCTTTTCTTTTTTTTTTTTTTTTTTTTTTTTTGAGACAGGGTCTTGCTCTGACACCCAGGCTGGAGTGCAGCGGTGCACTCATGGCTTACTGCAGCCCCAGCCTCCCAGGGCTCAAGTGATCCTCCCACCTCAGCCTCCCAAAGTGCTTGGATTTACAGTGAGCCACTGCACACAGTGTATGTTTACTTCTTACAGTCATTCCAATTCATATAATAAATGGCTCTACATACTTTGTGACCACAGAAAGTGTATATTTTCAAAAGTTGGCTGTTTATTCCATTCAGCAGTAGAGTCAGAATGGAATATGATTAGGTCATGTAAGGTATAAGTCAGTTACAAAACTCTTAGCAAGGGTCAAAGGAGAGACAGAATGATCTTAGAGGAATACAAGGTTGCAATAGTGCAAATTCTTTGTGCAATTTATAGAGCGATGGTTGTACACTCAAAGGTGCCAGGGAACAGGCCGATAACACCAGTGATGGCAAAGGTTAGGTAAAAGGAAAAACAAAGCTAGAGAACTCTAGTTCTTTCTAAAAGGAAGCCATCTCCCACTCTAAGCAATCACTGACAAGAAGGAATGGAGCCCCATGTGTCCACAGATTTCAAATTTGCAAGAGAAGTTGGAAATTCAGATTTTAAATGAAATAACCTAAATGTTAGATGTTAGCAAATAACTTATAAAAATCTTACAGACGTATGGCTCAGCCGAAATATGTCTGCTAACTAGAATCAAGCCATGAGCTGTCAGTTTATGACCTCAGCTACATACCTTCCAGCCTAGCAGCAAGCCCACCACTGTCCTTTTTGTTACCATGGCAGCAGGGCAGGTCCCCATAGACCTCTGTGTGTCGAGGATGCAGCCTAACCTTTGGTTATCTATTCATGTCATCACCCAGTGATGAACTAAACATGCAGGATGGATTGCTCCAAGAACTTATTATCCAGTAGACCTGAGAAACTGAAGCAACTGGAAGTTGCCACTCAGCCTTCTGAAAGTTTTGAAGCCTCCCAAAGACCATAAACTTTATCTCTCCCAGCATCTTTGCCCAGCCTCTCTCCCCACCCATACTGGAGCTCCTGATACAGCAAAAAGATGAGGTGCCTGGGCAAACCACAATGATTCATGCCTGTAGGAGGTGAGGGCATCAGAATCACATATCTTATTTCACATCAACAGGCACCAAAATGCACCCACTCCGACATCCATTCCACAGCCAAGTAGGTCAAATTCTCCGCCACTAAAATCGCACTCCTTATGTCATAAACAAACACATTCAACCTTAGCTACAGCCTCAATGTTTCTGTTGGGATGAATGGGAATCGCAGTCAGAAGGAGTGATGGCCTAAGTCTTCACAAGCACACACAGGTGTGAGCACACAGATAGCAGACAGCAGGTAGCCACGCTGCAAACTGGAGGGACAGTATTCCTTTCTGATAAAGGACAGTGTGAGAGCAGGTGCTATAAGGATGGCTCTCTACTCCATGATAATTTGCCCACCTGAAAAAGTGTCCAAAGGTTTAGACTCAAAGAACATACCCCAAGACATATGAAATGGCAAAACATGGTATAAAAGTAGGTAATAAAATGGTCTTCGCCTGCTGTGGGGATTAGTTCTAGGTACAGCGCAGTTCATCTAGGCAGAGTGACCATTCATTCTAGCCCCTCTGGATCAGCCCCTCTGGCAATTTTTGTTGTTGTTGTAAAGGGCCAGTGAATAAATATTTCTGGCTTTGCAGCCCATACAGTGTCTGTCATAATTACTCAATTCTGCCATTGTAGCATGAAAAGCCATAGACTATATATAAATAAATAGGCTTGGCTGTGGTTTACTAGAAATGTATAAAACAGGCAGCAGGTCAGCTTTGGCCCATAGTTTGTGGACCCTTGTTCTAGAGTCCAGGGTGGTCCAGGCAGTTCCCTTCTAGCTGCAAACCATCTCATTACTGAGCAGAACCCCCAAGGCTGAGTGAGCTTGAGAGCTGAGCTAGGAATCTAGGCCCACTCGCAGACAGCTCTAGGGTAAGCCAGCTTTTCAGCCCGTCTTCTGGAAGCCGGGATGCTTTCCTCGCAGACTGAGCCAGAACCCCAGCTGCCTCCTAGTGGAGGAGGGAGTTTTCACTTCCAGCATTTGCTTCATAGTGGAGAAACTAATTGTAGCTCTATTTTCAAAAGATACATACTCCAGACACACATACATGTGTCTGAAGTATATGTGTGTGTGTGTATATATATATATATATGTACAGTTTATGTTAGTGGGCTCAGATGAGAAAATCATTACTTTAAATGCCCTTGTTTGTGTTTGAGATAAAACAATGTTCTTTTCCCTCTTCTGATTGCAGTGGGCTTAGGGTACATGTTTTAAGAAACCCAAAGGGAGACCATAATGAAGTTATAAGCTGTCAGAACTAAGTGCTTGATCTAGGAGCATACTTCAAAGGCCACATATGTATATTTTTTCCTTTGAAAAGCATAGTAGGTAATATTACTGCTATTCAACACAGGAAATCAATTAAACTCTTATGAAAAGAAAACCATTTTTTAAAAGATCAGTAGTTAATATTGAATCTATTTTCCTAAAACAGAACAGGTCAGCATTTTCAGATGAAGAAGGCATATTTTTGTAGGCTCTTTCAACCACAGTGCTTATTAAATTTATGTACTTTGCACTAACTCGAATGAATAATTGTTTATTTTTTGAGGTTACTTAATATCAGCTACAGTAGAGTCAGATTTTGCCAACATTTTCTCACTGTTTTACGCCACCTAATTTGAAATTAGGACTATATGAAATCATTCATCGAAAAATACAATTCCTTCCAACCTCAGCAGAAACAAGAAAAAAAAAATACAATTCTTAAAGAAGGAAGTAAGAAAGTACCTTAATAGAGTATTTTATCAGTCTGGAATTAAGCATCACTTCCTAGATAATACGAGGGAAATTCTGCTGACATTGATGACAATATAATGAGCTCTATTCTGAATAAAACCATGATCCACAGCATAGGGAAATTTGTTCTAAGATATGAGTAGCTAAAATGTTAAATACCAAAGTTAGAGGCTTTTGGCCTTGACAGAACAGGAAACCAAGAATTCAAACTGTGCTGGAAGAGGCAAAAACAAGGACCTATTATGTTTGCGCTGAACCTGGCTGTATGAAATTAGGATATGGCATAAAGCTGGCAAAGTATTTGATGTTTTCATTGAAACTGGGCCTCCAGTAATTTAAAGTCACTCTATTATGACGCCTTTCATGTGAATAATATATTACCCATTCAGTTTTTTAACTCGGACTTCTTTGTGACTTGCTTGTTTGTTTAACTTCCCTCCTGTAGGAAGGTATTTTCTTTGTCAAGGCATTATTCTTGAGTATCCCTCAGTAGCAGGGAAGGGATATGTGCCAAGATAGATGGGAGCTTTCAGATGTTACCCCAATATTTTCCGCCACGTGATCTTTGTACTGTTTCTTGTGAGCTTGCTTTGGATGGGGCTCATTAGTTAAGCAAAATTGAGAACAACATGGGTTTTTAAAAATTTCCCTTATTACTACTGAGGTTGGGCAATTTTTACACATTTATTCGCCACTCGCATTTCTGCATCTGTAACTTGCTTGTTCATAGTTATTGTCCATTTGCCCACTGTAGTTTTTGTCTTTTTCTCATTAATTGTAGAACCTGTTTATGTGTTATGGATATATGAGCTCTATTTTGGATTAAACCACGATCAACAGCATAGGGGAATTTATGCTAAGATGTGAATATGCTAAATGTTAAATATCAAAGTTAGAGTCTTCTTTTGCTAAGTTAACTAAGCAAGTCACTTCATCTCCCTAGATCTTGAATCCCTTACCTATTAAATGAGAAAGTGAAAGCAGTTCATCCCTAGTTCCCCTTCCACTTCTAAAATTTGAATATTTATAAATCACATGTTCATAAAGTAAGGCATACATACACTGATGGTTGAGTATAAAGAAAAAGTGAATACTGAGGCAATGCATTTTGTGTTTTGAGACTGTCCTACTGAACAAGTTTTTCAGAGTCAGACAAAACATTTAAGTTGGGAAAACTCGGCATTTTATTGTGAAGCCCATATCATTTCTCAAAGGTGAAATTGTGAAGCCCATGCCATTTTTCAAAGGCAGACCTTCAGGTGTCCCTTAGGTTTTTTCAACTGCTTCTTAATGGCCATTTCTTCCTTCAGAAATAGAGTCACAGTGGTGCATATGTCCTACAACCTACATAGAATGGCTCTCCATGGTTTCAAAAGGTTACTGACTGCAAAATAATGACACCATTCAAAAATAACTAATGTTAACAGTGTACATATTGTTAACATTTCCTGTTATCAATAAACATGCTTCCTCAAAAGGATTTTGTTCATGGCCACTTAGTAATTCATCATATGGTGATATAGTCCCTGATTGTTAGGCTATTAACATAATATTGTTATAAATAATATATGATGAATACATATTTATTACATATATATTGACATGATGAATATATAATGAACTGCCTTGTACCTAATTTTGCATCTTTCTGATAATTTCCTCAGGATAAACTCTACTATATTAAAAGAAATGATAGGTCAAAGGGACTGAACGGCTTTAAAAACTTTTTCTGTTTTCAAATTTTAGCCAGATTATTGGACCAATTGAGACATCCAACAGCAGTTCAGCCTCCGTTTAAGCATAAAGCCTCCAAATGTAGAAATTTTCGGTACAGTTAG